CTCCCAGAGGGGGCTGGTTTCGTGGGTGCCCCATGTGGTGCCCGATCCGTGGCAGGGGCTGAAGGGAACGAGCCGAACACCCAGCCCTGACAGGGGGTGCAACAGCCCCGCCCTTCCCACACCACCTGGACGAACCCCAGGGGGGGGCAGGATCCGTGGCAGGGGCTGAAGGGAACGAGCCGAACACCCAGCCCTGACAGGGGGTGCAACAGCCCCGCCCTTCCCACACCACCTGGACGAACCCCAGGGGGGGGCAGCTGGTGGGGCTCGGTACCTGGCGGCGCTCGTTCCGGCTCCGAGTCCTTCGCCTGCAGAAGTGTCTCTAGGAAGAGCCCTGAGAAGTTGGGGGCCAGATCTGCACTGGAGGGCGCCAGGGCACCCAACAGGGGCAGGGAGGAGAGACAGTGGCAGGTGCTGAGCTGGGGTGTGGGGGTGAGCAGTGCTCTGTGGCATGGTATCCAGTCAGCCTGTAACCCTGGGGGGCGAGGGGCTTCATTCTACTGCCCCCAACTCCCAACGCCTGACCTACAGCTGGCAAAGGTGCAAGCTCCTGGACAGACCGACGGACAGGCAGACAGACGCGGGGTCTGCCCCACTTTCTAGCCCTGTCTCCGCCCGGCCTGCGGCCCCAGCTCTCCACTCTGGGGGCACGCGAGCGTTCTGCTGCGAGGTGGAGCTGCCAGAGGCGGGGGGCAGGGAGCTAGTGGCTGGCACAGTTTGGGGTTTGCACCCCCTTGCTCACAGCCCCACTGGAGAGGAGCGGCAGGTAAATCAGGGTCTCTCTTTGCAGGAGGCAGCATGGTCTGGGTGTGATGTGACAAGGTCCGGGGTCCCTTGCCAGGCAGGGGGTCAGGTACAGGCCCCCCCCCGGGGAAGGGCACCGCTGGCTGCGTCTTGCTCTCAACCCCCCAGCCCACATACCTGGCGCCAGGCAGCCGGAGCAGCAGAGGGCCGAAGATCTCGCCCAGGGCCTGAGGGTGGAGGCCGTTGCTCTCTGCCTGCTGGGACACCTTCCCCAGGTGGCGGAGCAGGAACTGCAGGGTGAGCAGGTTCTGGGGAGGCACCGCAGGAGACTCCAGCACCAGCAGCAGCTGCTTCCGGCAGTTCTCAGGCTGCGGGATCTCTGGAGAAGCAAGACACAGGCTGGAAGGGCAGGGGCTGGGCCTGCCTTCCTCTCCACAGTGGGGCTGCACTGGATTCACCTGCCTCCAGTGCACCAGCATTAACAAGAACCCCCTAGGGCCCACCCAAGGGGATGACAACCATCGAACACTAGAACTGGAAGGGACCTCAAGAGGTCGAGTCCAGTCCCCTGCCCTCATGGCAGGACCAAGCACCGACTAGATCACCCCTGACAGGTGTCTGTCTAACCTGCTCTTAAATATCTCCAGGGATGGAGATTCCACAACCTCCCTAGGCAATTCATTCCAGTGTTTGACCACCCTGACAGGAAGTTTTTCCTAATGTCCAACCTAAACTTCCCTCGCTGCAGTTTCAGCACATTGCTTCTTGTTCTATCCTCAGAGGCCGAGGAGAACAAGTTTTCTCCCTCCTCCTTGTAACACTCTTTTAGGTACTTGAAAACTGCTCTCATGTCCCCTCTCAATCTTCTCTTTTCCAAACTAAACAAGCCCAGTTCTTTCAGTCTTCCCTCATAGGTCATGTTCTCTAGACCTTTAATCATTCTTGTTGCTCTTCGCTGGACTTTCTCCAAATCTTCCTTGAAATGTGGTGCCCAGAACTGGACACAATACTCCAATTGAGGCCTAATCATTGCTGAGTAGAGCGGAAGAAGGACTTCTCGTGTCTTGCTCACAACACTCCTGTTCATGCCGCCCAGAATCACGTTTGCTTTTTGTGCAACAGTGTCACTCAGGTTTAACGTGTCGTCCACTATGACCCCTAGGTCCCTTTCTGCAGGACTCCTTCCTAGACAGTCACTTCCCATTCTGTATGTGTGAAACGGATTGTTCCTCCCTAAGTGGAGCACTTTGCATTTGTCCTGATTAAACTTCATCCTGCTGACCTCAGACCATTTCTCCAGTTTGTCCAGATCACTTTGAATTATGACCCATCCTCCAGAGCAGTTGCAAACCCTTCCAGCTTGTCCCCCACTCAAGTCCTGCCCAGTAGCTTCCTCCTCTCCCTCCCTGATGTGCAGCCCTTACCCTGCAGGATACGCAAGATCTCGCCATGCACAGACGCCGGGACCACGGGAGCAGGCAGATCCTGCAGGAAGCCCCGCAGCGCCTCGCCCAGGGAATGTACGTCGAACGGCTCCACGTCGCCCAGCACCCAATCTGCACAGAGCAAACAGACCCTTCCAGCAAGCGCTCGTTGGCCAGCTCAGATTTGATGGGAGCACCCCAAGTTTCCCCACCGCAGGACTTGGAGGCACAAGAGGCCCCAGAATCCATCGCAGCAGCTGCCGCTGGGGCACAGCAAGGAGGTGGCACGTTGGGGTGGGTGTGTCTGTCGGAGGGCAGAGCTGCCAAGGACGGACGCGTTCTCTGTTCCCATTCCCGGCAAACAGGCCTCACTTGGTGACAGACTGCACCCCCGCCATGACAAGAGCCCTGCCAATGCCACACAGCCCGGTACAAGCCCCCTGGCTCAAGCGCCTGCTGCCCCGGTGATGGGGAGCAGGTGCGGCAGGCCGGAGACTCCCTGCCCCTGTTAGTTTAGGACCTTTGCATTTTCAGGCCTCTACACAAGGAGGAGGATCAGGCAGCCCTGGGGTAACACAGCAGCAGCGACTCCCAGCTGGGTGCCCAGTCTGGAAGCAGGCAGGGAACCAAGCTTCCTGGAACCTGGCCTCCGAGGGCCCAACGAGATCAGCTGCATGTGCCGGTTTGCTCCCTTCCTGCACCATGAGCCTGGAACGCCGGTGAGATGGCTGAGCTGACCCCGGGCTTACGAGTGGTTTGGGACAGCCCGGCATGGAGGAAGCCGCATTTAGCTTGGCCCGGGCAGCGTGGGAGCACAGCAATCCACATGGAGGTGGCTGGGGAGGGGACTGGGCCGGCGACCCTCAGCGGGGAGCAGAAGATCCCAGAGGAGCTAGCTGGCGACATCTGCTCCACGCCCAGCAGCCGAAGAGCAGAACTCAAGTCCCTAGCACAGCGGCTCCTCCTCCTGCCAAGCTGCAGGGAAATGCCACCGCCTCCAACGCCACACGGGCTGGCTTCCCTTCCGTGCAACTACTCCAGCACAGCCAGGAGACGGCAGCTGGCTGAGGAGAGAAGAGGAGCCGGGCCTGGATTTCGTTCCTGCTGGCGCTGTCACATCCACTCATCTCCTCCATCTGACCCGTCTCGCCTCCCCTCCGAAGAGAACTGGTTCTTACCAGTCTTCAGCGCTTGCCTCAGCTCCGAACCAGACGTCCTGTACAGCATCTCGCTGTCTAGGCCTGTGGGAAGTGCAGGGCGGCTTGGTTAGCTTTGTGGAGAGAGGCAGCCCCAGCCTCTGCCGCCCCGGGGGAGCCAACCCCATCCCAGGCTCACCAGCCACGTCCCGGGAGTTCAGGCCTTCCGGGGCACATCAGCTGGACCAGGGCTAACCCGTTTCAGACCAGGCCGTTTTAACTGACTCTAGAGACAGAGCTTGCTGGTTTCCTCGAGGGGACAGCACAATCCAGCGCGTCCCTGACCACTAGGCAACACAGCCTCCCCACAGCCAGTCACACGCCCAGTCCGGAACTAGCATACGATTCCGACGCCTCCCTGGGCCAGACAGCCCAGCTGCTGCAGATCCGGGTCGCTGCCGGGACTTGCTGCGTACAGCTGGGCGCACAGT